AGTTAATGGCTGCATTCAGCGGACTCAACAGTTGAGCGAGCGTTCGCTGCTATTGACGTATTCTTCTAGATCTAAAATTCTGATTGGATGATCTAAAAGAATACACCAATAACAGCGAGCGCTCACTCAACTGTTGAGTCCGCTGAATGCGCCCAATGTGTTTGAGCGCATCATGAGTGCAAGGAATATTTTACTGTTTATCTGTAAATTACTAATTTCACGCAAAAATGTATATTGCTTATTTAAGAGGGAGGCAATCCGCAAGAAAATATTAAAATTATATTCATTGTACATCATTCAAAAAACTGAGAAACGACATTACAAACAATTTTGGGTACGTCCAATATTCACAGAGGAAAGGAGGTTAATGCAAGGAGCAAGTGACAATTTGGTACGAGAAATGGAGATACTTGATCCTGAAAAATTTTTAATTATTTCCGAATGTCACATACTACTTTTGAGGAACTTTTCAACATTGTTAAACCATTCATTACTAAGGTACACGTTATTCGAACACCAATACCTGCACGCACTCGTCTGCAAGTAACTTTACGATACTTGGGTTCCAGGTGACAGTATGGTTTCTATATCGTATGCATTTCGAATAGCGCTTAATATAGTTTCTGTGATAATCAACGAAACGTGCGAATCAATTTGGAATGTTTTAAAACATCGAGTATTTTTGCAACCCTCCTCGAGTAATTGGGAAAAAGTCGCTGATGATTTTGAAAGAATCTGCAATCCCGTGACGTCAATGGTTCCGCGGCATTTTTGCGGTACGAAAAATGCGGAAAGGCTCCGATTGGTCGCTGGATTTCCGCCGCTACCGCCAAAACCGTTCCGCTTTTACTTTTACCACTTCATGTGCCTTCAGCCCAGAATCGATAATAATCGCCATATCAAGCGCTCGTATTTAACCAATCAGTACATTGGACAAAATCAATCGTAGCTTGGTTCAATATCCGGAATCGCAAATTCCGTATCCCACTCATAGCCTCAGGTTAAATCAAAACCGAGAAGCGGTCGGAGACGTAACATAATACAAAAAGCCGAAATTGTCGAATACCAGCGCGAGTTCTGATTGGCTGCTGTTTTTCCGCTTTCTGCTTTTTCCGTCAATGTGTGAACGCACTCTTAGGGTGCCATTACATGAGCGCGGAAAAACGGAAACGCGGAAACGCGCAACCAATCAGTAATCGATAAAACGCGAAACCATAAGGCTGATATTACATGAGTGCGGAAACACGGAAATACGGAAACGCGCAACCAATCAGTAATCGGTGAAACGTGAAACCATAACAGCGGATTGCTTCTGATTGGTTACGCGTTTCCGCATTTCCGCGTTTCCGCGCTCATGTAACAGCACCCTAACAGCGGATCGCTTCTGATTGGGTGCATTCAGTACTACAGCCGCTCACTAAGTGCTCAGTGAGCGCTTGCATCTTATTGGTATATTCCGTTAGAACTAAAAATATAGACCAAACAGATACAAGAGCTCACTGAGCGCTCAGTGAGCGGTCGTGGTACTGAATACACCCATAGATTACGCGTTTCCGCATTTCCGCATTTCCGCGCTCATATAATGGCACCATCAGGTGTCACCACTTGCTGGGGCTAGATGTCGCGGAGGTACCGCTCTCTAGCAACCTCACCGTTACCAACTTAATTTGGTAACAGCCACAAAATATTAGATTGCTAGGAAATAGTTTACATTACCTATACTGGCTGCGGTCCACTTGACGCTACAAACGCTTCGAAGCGTTCTTTGATTAGTCAATTCATAAAATTCTTTGTTCTGATTGATTGCTCCATGGACATAGGAATAACGGGACGGAGCAATAACTGCGAGGGGTGGAGCCATTTAGCGGGGAGGCAACTATGATCACGTGATATGTTTGGTGTCGCATTGGTTAAAATCAAGCAGAATTTGCGCAAACGCAGCATCTTATTATTTTGATTATCATGATACTGTGATCCGGTATAGATTAGAAACAGTTAGAAATTATAAAGGGAATGAGAAAAAGAAAAGAGTGAACGGAGAAAAAATCAAATTTTATAATTATTTTGAGATATACATCTTGAATAATATATATTCTTATATATCTCTCTTGATATATTACGTACTTATTTACAATGCCACAGTGTATTATAAAATACTGTAAAAATCGCACACTAAGTCGTCCAATATTAGGACAATGTAAACAAGAAAGAAATACTAATGTATCATATCATTGGTAAGAAAGATTCATGTTCTGTTTGCATGTATTAAGATTATATTATATTATCAAAATAGTATAATATGAAGTTACTATCTAATTAATTTATAGATTTCCAAAGAATGAGAAAGCTAAAAATCTGTGGTTAAAAGTATTGGAACTGAATGCAGAATCAGTCCCACCTGGTGCTAGAATTTGTTCTAAGCATTTTAATGAAAATTCATTTGATTTTTTATTTGGTACGAAGAGACTAAAACTAAATGTACTACCGTATATAAGTATGAAATAGTATTATTATTAGAATTGGGAAATAACACGTTACTTTTATTTCGGTAACATATTGGTAATAGCATTATGTACAATCCTGATTTATAGTATATTATATATAATTTACAACATTATGCAGTTTGCCTTACACGTTTCTTTATACATAATTCTTCTGTCTACTTATTTAGAATGTGTAGATACGGAGAATATTTCAAACTGTGATACAGTTATTGCTTCAAGCTCTAATACAACTAAAATAGATAGAGCTTCGTCTCCTATTCCTGGACGTAATCATTTTAACGTTAATTTAATTTTATTAAATAATACATATATTAATTTTATAAAATTAGAAGTTTTTACATATCACAATTAAAATTTTTTAGTTGTCGATCAGTCGACCAATGTATCATCAAAGAGGAAACTCCTGAAAAAGAATCTTTTCGGAAAAAACTACGGGACACGACCAGCATTTATACAAAAAAGATAAAAATTTTGCAACAAAAGATTCGACGAATGGAATCACGAATTATTTCTTTGAAAGGAATTCTCGAATCACTGAGGGAAAAT